AAAATTATTTTAGAAATTAGGCAAACATTCTAAATGATTTATTGTTTTAACCAGTTATTCTGCAAGTTATTTCTTTATATCATATCACTCACTGATATAAATCTTTGATTAAGATATATTGCTTGAAAAATTATTTTAGAAATTAGGCAAACATTCTAAATGATTTATTGTTTTAACCAGTTATTCTGCAAGTTATTTCTTTATATCATATCACTCACTGATATAAATCTTTGATTAAGATATATTGCTTAAAAAATATTTTAAAAATTAGGGCAAAAATTAAAAATTGTTTATTGTTTTAACTGATTATTCTGCAAGTAATATCTTCATATCATATCACACACTGATATAAATCTTTGATTAAGATATATTGCTTGAAAAATTATTTTAGAAATTAGGCAAACATTCTAAATGATTTATTGTTTTAACCAGTTATTCTGCAAGTTATTTCTTTATATCATATCACTCACTGATATAAATCTTTGAATAAGACTAGAGCTATATTGTAAATAAAAAAGGAAGAGAAATAAATGTAGATATTAAAACAAGTAATATATCCTCATTTACTGTAGTATTAATAATTAATTTTTAATTCTTGTTAGAAAAAGGGTTCTTCGTAGTTTGCTCTATTTTAACCTGTTTAACACTCAGTCTGTTTGGTTTATATAATTTACCAAAGAAATGTTTAATGACATTAATTATGGATTTGAACAATTTGTGGATATGATGACTGGGTGACTGTAACATTTGTAGAACATTATGGTAATATTTTACAGCAATGGTTTCACATGCCTGTGTAAGAAGTGATGCATGGAAAAACAAATTAGATTTATATTTTCTTGTCATAAAAATATTTATCTTTAAGCAAACAATCCTGTGCACTTGTGCATAAATTTTGCTCAACTGAAGGAACACATTTTCAGGATGAAAAGAAAAGGTGTACAGTGTTGTTGCCAAGTTGTTAATTTCAGGCTAAAGAAATGTCTTCATATTATTATGTATGATTAATTTAAAGATAGTGGGATATCCTGGCCATGTGCCAAGGATCTCATGCAGTCAGCTGCTTAAGAGGAATGAGAAAAAAAATATGCATACACCCTGCTCTCCATGCTCTTGGCTGCAGCATAAACAGCATCTTAGGATGTAAGACAGAAAAGAGGCTTTAAGGATCTGTTTCTCCTCAGTGACAGTAGACAGCAAACCACTGTTTAGCAATGCACAACGTAGGGCAGGCTCAAGTGTGCAAAATGTGGTAGGACATCACCTCGAAAGTTTAGCCATGACATTCTAGGACACCAGTCATCATGAGTGGGTTAAATTTATCCTCATTCTGGTGGGTCCTGTTTTTTTTTCAGCAGGAAATGAGACTAAAGCTGTATTATAAATGAAAATAGAAGTGGATTGTTTTTCTCTAAAAGAAAATTATATCACTGATGACTGTATATCCATTTTTTAGGAAATTAAGTTATAAGACATACTAACACATTATAATTCTTAGATGCAAAATATAGGCATTACATTCAGAGATAGGTGAGGAAGTATTTAGTGTGATATTTTGAAAGACAGCATTCATGAGACAGAAACAAAAAATTGTGACATGGTTATCATGAGATGTTATTTATTCACCCTTGTATTATATAACTGTATAAAATTATATAATAAAATAAAGCATATACTAGTATTTATCATATTCTCCAAGGTGATATTCATTTTATGAAATCTTTGTACAATGAATTTACTGGCAGGTATTTATACACTACTCCATGTCCCTTGTAAAGATGTAGGTGCCAGTGAAAAAAAAGTATTTTAGATATTTCTTATTGTTTCTGCTTTTTAGATAATCTTTGTTTATATGGTGTTAATGGATGATAAATCCTTATTTTACATTGTTAATGGAGAAACATGCATTTAGCTTGTAACATTAGTGTCAACAAGTATTGATTGAATATTGTTATTGCATCTCTGTATGACAGTAAACTTTCTTGTAAATTGCACATCAAATTCTTGATATAGTATGAAATAGAATTATCCTTATAATGGACTGAATAGTATCTAAACATTGTTTGTAGCAGTGTACCTACTCTGTACTTCTGTTTTTCTTCTTTTTCTTTCTTTTTTCTTTTTTTTTTAAGAATCTGATGACTTGATGCCATTTTGTTATAAATCTGTGTTGTTAATCGAGTAATGATATAATGACTATATGCTGCATGCACCATAAAGTGTTGAGCATGTGATTAATATAGCTAATATAACACTGTACTAATTTCAAAACTAAAGCTTTTCTGTTTTGCTTGATATCATATGTAATCGTTTTTCAGTTCTTTTTATAATGTGGTTTTCTTTTGATATGATTTATAAAGCATTTTTGTTTGTCAAGATATATTGAATAATACAGGCAACTATAGTTATATTGTGCATGCTAGCAAAAGTTTGAACTTTGCATGAATAGTCTAGGGTTAGAATGGGTCTTTTGAGTGTAACTATCTTAACTTTTTTCCAGTACACAAGATCAGTGGATTTGTCACACAACCCATACCATGAGTCAAGCTTCAAGTTTTATGACCATGCACTGACAGATGCTCTAGATGCCAGTGATCCCAGCTGTGAGCTCTTCTTTCGACTCCTGGCACTTTGTCACACTGTGATGTCAGAGGATAACAATGGTCAGTTCTTTTATGGATTTGAGGCAGGACATTTAACTTTTATATAGTTATGCTAAATCATTCTGTGAATTGGAGGATCTAATTGATTGACAGTTATCCTTTACATTGCTCTTAAGATCCTGTATAGTTTGGAATATTTTAATGTTAAATTCATAGAATTTGATGACAAGATGTCCAAGAACCAGTAAAAATGTATAAATTTGTATTGTTTGCTCTTTTTTAGTTTAACTTTTACCTTTGGATTGATTGTTTCAGGAAAACTGGAATACCAAGCCCAGTCACCAGATGAGGCTGCGTTGGTCTCAGCGGCTCGCAACTTTGGTTTTGTTTTCCTTTCTCGCACGCCAAATAGTATTACCATATCAGTAAGTGGATCCTATTCTTGAAGCCCCTGACTGTTTTATCTTTAATATGTGAATGCATTTATAGTGTAGGAGGTACCAGTCATTAATTTATCTCTCAGAATTATATTTGCAGTATAAGTAGGTGAAACATTTAGTTAAGGAGGAACTCAAATAATGTTATATCGTATTGGTTGTTGAACTAAAAGTAGATACACTTATGCCATTAACTTTACAAATTTTCTCATCCTTAGGCAAAAGAAAATGAAGAAGTATATGAGCTGCTTTGTATCCTTGACTTTAACAATGTCAGGAAAAGAATGTCGGTAATTCTCAAGAGAGATGGTAAAATACGTCTATATTGTAAAGGTGCCGACTCCATCATATACGAAAGATTAAAAGATGGACAAGAAAGTTTGAAATATCATACTCAGGAGCATCTGAATGTAAGTTAAAGATTTTGTTTTTCAGTTGGCATAACTTAATATTAAATTTTCAAAAGAAATAAACATTATTTTCATTGAATTTGTCATGTAAAGTTACTACTAATAATCAGAGTAATAACAGTTTTTTTCTTTAATTTTTTTTGTATTTATTTTTGTCTTCCATTTTTAAAAGATCTAGTCTGTATATGCTCTTGGTTTTAATCTTCTGTCTTGTGGCAACCAACATTTTCTTGATAAGAAATTTCACTTTTACATTTCAGAAATTTGCAGGGGAAGGTTTGCGAACACTATGCCTTGCGTACAAGGATTTAGATGGAGAATATTTTCAAGTAGGTCAATGCCCTTGGGTGTTATAGACCAAGAGATTTTGCTGTTTGCTGTACACATATATCTTATTTTTGTTTTTGAATAACTCCTAAGTTTCGTGGATAAAAAAGAAAAAAAAAGAAAATTTTGTAAAAACCTAATTTTCATTTTTAGAAATATCAGTTTATCCATGTACTAGTATATTTGTGATGTACAGGAAATGAATGATAATGTAAAGAGAAAAACTTTACCCTCAGAATTGGAAAGCTCGGCATCATGAAGCTGCCATTTCTCTGGACAGGCGAGAGGAGAAATTGGATGCTATTTATGAAGAGATTGAAAAGGATCTTATTCTCTTGGGTAAGTCTTTTTTTGTTGATCGAATTGGCCCAAGAAACACATAGTTTGTTTTATTGTAGTACACCATAGGAAGATATCCTTGTATATATTTGTTTATGTATTATACCTAATAGTCTTTATATACATGTTTTACAGGAGCTACAGCTATTGAGGACAAACTGCAAGATGGAGTGCCTCAAACCATAGCCAATCTTGCAATTGCTGGCATTAAGATCTGGGTGCTTACAGGTGACAAACAGGAAACTGCAATCAATATTGGTTATTCCTGCCAGGTATGTTTGTTTTATCCCCTTTCCATCCATATCTTCCCATATTTTTCTTTCTTTCTTTTTTTAAACAAATTAAACACAAAGAAGGAAGTCATATGTGTTTAAATGAAACATGCTTATGAAGATTAAAATGGTGTTTATGTTAACTGATGTCTTTAACTAAAGTTCACTGGTATTAATGTGATATATATGACTTGTTTCCTCTAGTTGTTGACAGATGATATGCTTGATATCTTCATCATTGACGCCCACACTGCCTCCGAAGTTGAAGATCAGCTCAAGAAATATCGTGAGGAGATTCGCAATGTTAATGCCACAAGTCAACCTCAGACAAATCTATCAGTTGTCACATTCAGGTAAAGAGCCTTTGTATGAATAATTTAGTGGGAAGAGTATAAAGTGGTTACACTCCAGTTTTTTATATGAGAAATACCTAAGCCAGCTTTGGTATCATACCTTACTAAGATTGATATGTTCATTTGACCTGACAGTTAAAAGACAGTACTCTTGTAGATTGACTTTGTCTGCACAGAATTTTTTTTATCTTTGTGAATCGTCAGGAAACTGAAAATGATTGCTGCATGTATTATTGAGAAAATTTATTCGTCTTTGCATGTCTCTAGTATATGAATACAAATTTCACAGTATGCAAGAGTGGTATGTATTAGGTTAAGTATTTTGATATTTTTTTCAGAGTAAGTTGCTTTTTTAAAGATATATTTCATATTTAGTGTTTATTGTTTTTATGCACAGCAAGGCATCTTTTCCTTTTATTTAGTTGGCCTTAATTGAATATTGTTTTTTGAGAGAGAGAGAGAACACTTGTTGTTTATGAAGAGTTGGGTCTAATTCCTTGATATCAAAATTATAGCATGATACTTTTGCATAGCTGAATGGAATGTAGAGTAATCTAAATGTAGCTTCTGTCAAAGGTATTAGTAAAGCATTTAATAGTTGCTGGAATAAAATTTTGTTTATATTTTGTGATTATAGACTACATTGTGTTTTTCCCTACAACATTTTTACATCAGTGATAAGTAAATACCCCATATTTTTTTTCCTACTGGCAACTGTAAATTGTCAGTCCAGTAAAGGTTATGTTACATTCTTGATATCCTTTATAAATAAGAAATCTACATCTATCCAGTGATGATAGTGTAATCTTATTTGATCCTGACATTACTCATGTTTTGCTTGATGTAACACCAGCAACATAATACATTCTGAAGAAATACATTAAAAATAGTTATGTAGTTCAGCATTAAAGATTACTTTTAAATTGGTAAAAGTGGAAAGGCCAGCAGATTGATCAAAAAGTATTCACGTCACTCTAGTTAACACTGCAGTAGCACATCATCAGTTTAGATAGTTGTAAGTGAAGATAAACACTGCACATACTATGTGAAGAATAATTGTTAAAAATGTCTGTTTGATAAAAGTGTCTGTATAAAACAAAACTGATGATTGTATATAATGCTTAGTGGAAGCACAAATTGCAATTCAGTTCCATCAGTTGTTAGGTTAACAGCAAATTTATAAGCTTCTAAATGTTTTGCAAATAGCACACTGCCTTGATAATGTTACCTTAAGAAAGGGCACTGTACATAGGTATTATTTCAAATTCACATATTTGAATTTCACTTACCTAATATGTATTTAGTCTCACTTGGTTTTATGTTTGTTGGGACCTTTGGTGACATGAAATAGGCACTGGAAAAGTGTTATTTGAAAAGTTTTCTTTAACCAAAAATTATAAATGCTGTTTCCTTAATTTCCAGTCATTTCTTTACGATAATAACTTCAAATTTTTATTTGTATAAGAGTAATTACAAGATTAACGCATTGCATCCAGGTGCCGTGGCCGTTGGGTCTCAAAAAATTTGGCTGAGGACTGAGGTGATGGGAATGTGCTATCAAGAAAAATTTGGCTAAGGGCCATGGTGATGGGAATGACTCATCATGAGTGCACAAAGGTCTGGGAGGAAGATTAGATTCAGTGGGCATTTATTACCACTGGTAAACTAGGGTGGAATGTACAAATTCATGACCCATGCCTGGAAGAGTGCTGGCTCCAGGAAGGACAATATTTCCATGCTCAGGATCCAATTCCTGCCTACTATGACCAGTGGTGCTGGGTATGTCACATTTCTATTTTAAATGACACAGATAATATAATGTTACTTACTGTTAGTGTTATTGCACAGAATAGTAGATTACAAAGAAATGTCATAAGGAGTCTGCTCAAAGAAACAGATATAGACTGTGAAAAATGGCAAAAAAGAAAAAAAATAATGCAGAAAAAGATAAAATAATATTGTAAAGAAGAGGCAAGGAGCCTTGCTACCACATGTGAGTATTCATGCAGTCTGGGCCTACAAGCCACACACCCAGGAGAGTCGCCACTCATTTAAGCCTAATGGATTTGGCTCCACATGCAAGTTGCAGGGCACCCGGATCCAATGGGTTAATTAACATATAGAGATAATCAGACATCTATTAAAATACTAGTTTTACATTTGATTAGTGTTTTTATTAGTAGTAGTAGTATGGATGGTATTGCAGTGTTTGTAGATGAGCCAATGTTGGGCAATTTTTATTGAAAGATACCCCACATGCTGTGCGAATAGAACATATTTCAGAATTCTTATTCAGTTACAAGTTTTGTAATCAGTATACTTTCAAGAGTTTATCTTTTTGTCAGGCTTGAAATAGAACTATTAACAATTACTGGTGTAAAGACATCAAGAAGTTCTGAAAGTAATGGAAATGCTCTTGATGCATCAAACTAGATGCATCACTCTCTCTCCAAGTAATTTCCCACTCAGTAAATGGATGCCTTGTTGTGCTGTTATTCTCACTGCTGTTTACATTGTTAGCATTTACAGCGATGAAGGCGTTGGGCAGGACACTCTGAGTGATGCTGGTGAGCCAAATGGAGGCTTTGCTCTGGTCATTAATGGACACTCATTGGTTTGGGCTCTCAGTCCCAAGTTTGAGCAGCTCTTCCTGGAAGTTGCCAGTCAGTGTAAGTAAAGATTATGTATTCTTTCAGCTGAGACTATTAATTAGTTTAATTCTGTAAGATAACACACTTCATGATTTATTGTTTTGGAAATTCACAGTAAGGAAACTATTGCAGTCAAAGACCTTTTTAGATATTACCTTGTTCAGACAAATAACCTATATAGTTAGATATGAACCCAAGCAAAATGAAACAGAAGTTAACATTTCTTCCTACAGAGATCCATTAGTAATAGTTTTGTTACTATTTTTACTTTTTCCAATTTATTAATTAATAACTTGGAATATAGGTGCAGAAGTGTCACACATTTTTAATTTAGAGTGCTTATTAATTATTTATGAATTTGACAGGTAAATCCGTTATTTGCTGTAGAGTGACACCCTTGCAAAAAGCCTTGGTTGTTGATTTGGTGAAACGCTACAAGAAAGCAGTGACTCTGGCAGTGGGTGATGGAGCTAATGATGTGTCAATGATTAAGAGTAAGTTCATAAACGATATAGTTTTCTCGAGCAAGCTTGTTGAATTTGTATATTTGGCTTGAAATAAGGCAGGAATGCAATGTGCGTTATAAAATGACATTTCAAATATTCTTATACAGAGTTCCAAATAAAGGGAAAAGTCAGATTTTGTAAGGCATTTTTATTTCTCTCTTAGCTGCTCACATTGGAGTAGGCATATCTGGCCAGGAGGGCTTGCAAGCGGTCCTGGCATCGGATTATTCAGTGGCACAGTTCCGTTTTCTCGAGAGACTGTTGCTGGTGCACGGGCGCTGGTCCTACTACCGGATGTGCAAGTTCCTTAGATACTTCTTCTACAAAAACTTTGCTTTCACTTTATGCCACTTTTGGTTTGCCTTCTTTGTGGCATTCTCAGCACAGGTGAGAAAACATGTTTTAGTGTTTCCTTTGAGTGAATATCCTAATAGAAAATAATCATTTCTGGTAAAGAGCTGGTTTCTTGAGATTCTTTTTCCATATAAATGTAGATGATGGGTAAAAGTTCAAATCTAGAAGAATTGTTAATTAGGTGAAGGATGTTCTCAGCAATGGTGGTGCAGTTCACAAGTTTGAATTTTTTTTTACAGATTTTTCATTTAATGAGATGACTGCAGCTGATATTACATGAAAAGAAACCTAAACTTGTTTGGTTTCATTTTTTATTTCAGGTTCTTCTTGAAGTTTTAGTAATTAATGAAGGTGTTCTAATGTTGTGCATATAATTTGTTTCCGTCTTTCAGACTGTGTATGATCCTTTCTTTATCTCGACCTACAACCTTTTTTATACCTCACTCCCTGTCCTGTGCTTGGGAATCATGGACCAAGATGTCGATGATTACTATAGTCGTCGTTTCCCCAAACTCTACAATCCTGGTCACACCAACAGATTTTTCAATAAACGAGTTTTTATGTGGAGTGCTGTTCATGGTGCCATTACCTCATTCCTCATATTGTCTATACCCTTTGGTGAGTGGTTGTGTGAGAGATGTTGTCTTGTACAGTTGTGTCACATTCACCTATAGCCTCTGTCACCATCACCTTGATGTTTTACCTCACTAGATGTGTATATACTTCAGCCAAGAAGGCCGGAAACTTCAGACAGAGAATGTGTGAAGAGTCCTAGAGGTTTGTCTACACTAGATGTGGCAGTGAATGTTGATGTACTCTCTAGACAATACATGTACTCCCCTCTCTCTCCCCTCAAAGAAAAAGCCCAATGTAAACCTTGCATTTCATGCAATCTGGAATCCAGTCCTCCAGTCACAAGTAGCTCTTTATGAGTGATAACATTATGTCCAGGATGTCTCATCTGGTGTACCTTTTCCTTTTCTAGATGTGTCCTCAATGCAAGATGCCTTATTGCAGCACATTGCAATTTGTTAAGGCTTTTTGTTCATTATATTTTGGGGTTCAATATCAGTGGCTCTTTAGAAATTATAGAATCACTATGAAAATACCAGAAAATATTCTGGTATATATTGATATTAGTCCCATAAAGCATGAAGCTCTCAAGAAGCCTGTGTGTTGGAAAATGTTAAAACACATTCCATTATTATTTTACTTTTGAATGTACCACCAGCTTTGATCTGTAATGCCTGAGTGTGAAGTTGAGCCCCTGCAGTTGGAATTTTTCCTCAACAATCTTGTGACATAAATCTAATCACTTGTAGTTTGCTTAAGATTTATTATGATCAAAATATTTAGAAAAAATACACAGTAGATTGTTGAGGTAACTTACAGTGTATATACACACAAATGAAGGGGCTCAACTGATTCACAAATTTATTTATTTTGTGATTCCTCATCACTAGCACCAATACTAGGATTTGTTTTTTTCTCTTTCTTCCCCAACACAGACACTGTTTGATCCCATGTTTATATCAGTCTATAATCTGTTCTACACATCGATGCCTGTGTTGGCTCTCGGCATCTTTGAACAAGATGTCAATGCAGTGAATAGTATCAAGTTTCCCCGTCTCTACAGTCCTGGCCTCAACAATGCTCTGTTTAATAAACGAGAATTCTTCAGATCTGCCCTTCACGGATTTCTAACCTCTTGTGTCCTGTTCTTCATACCCTTTGGTGAGTGGTTGTGTGAGAGATGTTGTCTTGTACAGTTGTGTCACATTCACCTATAGCCTCTGTCACCATCACCTTGATGTTTTACCTCACTAGATGTGTATATACTTCAGCCAAGAAGGCCGGAAACTTCAGACAGAGAATGTGTGAAGAGTCCTAGAGGTTTGTCTACACTAGATGTGGCAGTGAATGTTGATGTACTCTCTAGACAATACATGTACTCCCCTCTCTCTCCCCTCAAAGAAAAAGCCCAATGTAAACCTTGCATTTCATGCAATCTGGAATCCAGTCCTCCAGTCACAAGTAGCTCTTTATGAGTGATAACATTATGTCCAGGATGTCTCATCTGGTGTACCTTTTCCTTTTCTAGATGTGTCCTCAATGCAAGATGCCTTATTGCAGCACATTGCAATTTGTTAAGGCTTTTTGTTCATTATATTTTGGGGTTCAATATCAGTGGCTCTTTAGAAATTATAGAATCACTATGAAAATACCAGAAAATATTCTGGTATATATTGATATTAGTCCCATAAAGCATGAAGCTCTCAAGAAGCCTGTGTGTTGGAAAATGTTAAAACACATTCCATTATTATTTTACTTTTGAATGTACCACCAGCTTTGATCTGTAATGCCTGAGTGTGAAGTTGAGCCCCTGCAGTTGGAATTTTTCCTCAACAATCTTGTGACATAAATCTAATCACTTGTAGTTTGCTTAAGATTTATTATGATCAAAATATTTAGAAAAAATACACAGTAGATTGTTGAGGTAACTTACAGTGTATATACACACAAATGAAGGGGCTCAACTGATTCACAAATTTATTTATTTTGTGATTCCTCATCACTAGCACCAATACTAGGATTTGTTTTTTTCTCTTTCTTCCCCAACACAGACACTGTTTGATCCCATGTTTATATCAGTCTATAATCTGTTCTACACATCGATGCCTGTGTTGGCTCTCGGCATCTTTGAACAAGATGTCAATGCAGTGAATAGTATCAAGTTTCCCCGTCTCTACAGTCCTGGCCTCAACAATGCTCTGTTTAATAAACGAGAATTCTTCAGATCTGCCCTTCACGGATTTCTAACCTCTTGTGTCCTGTTCTTCATACCCTTTGGTGAGTCTTGTTTTCTTCATTTTTAGGTGGTACAGTGCCAGAAAATTAAGTAGCACTATATGAAGTTAAACTCTGTAAGGCGAATAAGATTATTATTATATGCAAAAGCATTGCATTGGTGTCATTTACCAGTTCCATGCAAATTCCAGTACCAAGCAGATGACATTCATATTTTTTATATTGAGGTAAGATAAGAAGTATTTTCATATGTGTATAATACACTTTGATGTACATCACCTTGACCACCAGCACAGATATGTTAAGAAGATTTGGTGTTTGCATTTTTTATTGTTTTGCCTTGTTTGTGTTCAAGAATTTTTATCACTACTGAGGCTTTTTAGTAAATGACAGATTTTTCATATACTGATTATCATTTCAGTCTAATATATTTGGGAACTGTGCCCTCATGTAAAGGTGAACAAGAGCATGTGAGAACAAGCTTGAAAGAAAAAAAAAATGAATTAGAAAGCAGTTATTTTGCTGTTCCGAATTATCTGTCAGTATATAACCCTGAGTAGATTATATAATTTAGGCAAGTTAAGTACAAGATTTTGTTGTAAACAATATGGTAATTGTTAACACAATTATTTCAATATTGCAGGTGCATACTACAATGGCATGGATCAGGATGGACGTAGCATGGCTGATCAGCAGACATTTGGCAGTGTTGTAGCAACAATACTTGTCATTGTAGTCACTGTTCAAGTTAGTATAAGAGGTGCACTGTTTTCCTTAGGGGAAAATAGAAAAAAATTATAGCAGATAGATAAATATATTAACTAATTACTAGTTTTTAGTCTCCAAAACTACCCAATATAAGTATACATAAAATAATTAATTAATTCTGTCTTATTTTTAGATTTGTTTGGATACATCATATTGGACCATGTTCAACCACATCACAATATGGGGATCTCTCATCTTTTACTTTCTGCTGCAATACTTCTACAACTTCGTCATCGGTGGCGAATATGTTGGAGCTCTAGCAAAGGTATATTCTGTTATATCGCGTTTAGAAACAGAGTGGCACATTTTCAGTCGAATGCAGTATTTGAAAATCTACATGTACTGAACAGGACTTTCAGCTTTAGGAATTCATTATGGTTGTCTGTCCATAGGCCATGGGTGAGCCAATGTTCTACTTTACCTCGCTCCTAACTATCGTGGTGTTGATGCTGCCTGTGATGGCGTGGCGCTTCTACTGGGTGGATGTCCACCCCACTCTCTCCGACAAGGTGAGGTTTAAACAGCGCCACGATGCAAAGATGGCAAGCAAGAGATCTGACCACGACATGCTTCGCACTCCATCGGCAAGAAGGTGAGCATGCTTTCCATATTTTACACTTGGTTAGCAGGACTTTTTCCTACAATTTTTAATTAAATAATTTATTTTATAGTATTTATCTATTTTCTTTTTTTTTTCATTATAAGTGGGATTAAACTGTATGTTATGGAGACCTACTACACATGACAATATACAATGGGAAATACAATAATTTTTGTTGCTCAGATCATTGAGAGAATGCTTTTTAAATTACATTTATATTAGTTTCAACACAGATGATACTGTTGTAAATTCTCCAATAGATTACACTGATGTAAATAATTGGAATAGACACATACATACACTTACACTCACACACACACATGCATGCACATGCACACACATGCACACACATACATGTATATATACACATATATGCATGCATTTTATGCACATATATTCACACTTGTCTCTCTCTCTCTCACACACACACACACACACACACACACACACACACACACACACACACACACACACACACACACACACACACACACATACACACATCCTTGCTGTAGTACTCATCATACATCCCTTCTCCAGATCACGGCGATCCATCCGCTCGGGTTATGCATTTGCCCACCAGGAAGGTTTTGGCCGCCTCATCACAAGTGGAAAAATCATGCGGCCGAGAAATCCAAAGCCTGGCGCCATGTCCAATGGCCGAACCTCAAATCTTCGTCCAGATGCCAACAGAGTTTCAATGGTGGCACCAGCACCCTCTACGGTGGAGGTGTAATGATCACCTTTTGTACTTATCAGTTGTGAATGTGTGTGTGCGCCTGTATATATAATATATTGTGGTGATGAAATAATGTTTGGGGATATTTATTTGAATCTGCCACTGGTGCCAATAGTTTGATTTAGGAAACTAGAAAACACTTAGTAAATACAATTCTTTTATTAATACAGTATTTGAAAGTTATTTTCCTAATAGCTTATGTGAACCTAGGTGATAAAGGCAGAGCCTTATTATTCTTGTAAATGGAGAAATGTCTATGTGAGAGGAAATATCAAAGAAAAATGAAATTTGGAAAAGTGAACTTCAGATGAAGACATTAGTGATAAAGCTAAGAAAAGAAAGAGAAAAGTGTTTGAAGACTTATGCATAGAATGCCAAGTTTTTTTTTTTTTTATCCCAAAATGAAAAGCTAAGATTGCCTTGACATGTACTTAGGCCACGATGGAGGTGCCACTTGGTGCTCCCTTCTCATAAGTGTACTTATGCTAGATTTCTCAGGTTTTCTTTCTTTTATATGATTTTTTCCCTTTTTTTCTCCCCCTCTCTTTCTTTGTTTATTAATGTTGAAGTTATTATTTATTTTCCTTAGATTTTTTTCCCAGTCAACTAATTGTTTTTAAGCATGTGTCCATCTTTGTGGTGGAAGTGTTGGGCAAGGAACAATGTGTGGTGGCCTTTGAGGGTTGTTCTTGTTTAGTCAGTTAATTGTTTTCTTTTTTTCTTTTTCTTTTTTTTTTGCTTTTTAACTTGTCCATGAGAGATGTACATTTGTAGGTTTTAGTTATGGTAATGGAATTCCATATGTGCTGATTGATATACATTCACATGTAATAAGATGACATACATGTTAAAACATATAATAATACATCCATACATTTTACATTTTTTGTACACAAATTCCAGTTTATAATTACAGAAGAAGAATACACATTTACATTTTCAACTAGTCATTGTTCTTTCATTTCACAAACCACTATGCAATAATTGTACATTAAAGCTACCAGTGGAATAGCACTGACACTATGCATAAGCTCATTTTCACAAATTCAACCCTATCCAAGACTACCCTTGCTTTCAGTGTATCTAGGGATTGTTTTGCAACTGTAGAGAAATTTACAAATCTAATTTAGTTTTTGAGAGAGATAAAAGCAAATTGTAGCCTTCTTTTGGCTCCCATTGGTCCTTCTTGCCCCTGTGTCAATAAATACTGACATCTCAGATTTTTGTGCTTGGATTTCCGTTCTTGACATTTTGGCACTCTCTCTTGTGCTTGTACTCATACTTGCACTTATATTCACTCACACTCACATTTACATTCCAAAAAACACACACACACACACACACACACACACACACACACACACACACACACACACACACACACACACACACACACACACACACACACTCTCTCTCTCTCTCTCTCTCTCTCTCTCTCTCTCTCTCTCTCTCTCTCTCTCTCTCTCTCTCTCTCTCTCTCTCTCTCTCTCTCTCTCTCTCTTACTCTCTCTCTCTCTCTCTCTCTCTCATTATATGTATATATTTCATTATCACTGTAATTTGGTATTTCAAGAAAACAAATTAAGCAATTTTATCCAGATCATGAATCCTTATTTTAATGTTTGGCAGATTTTGCCATTTGTGTTTGGAAATGTCAGTAACATGTTTTAGTCTGTATGAAATGTCGGTCTTTTAGATACTGTATAGTAAGCAGTTTTGTTTACCATTATTTTTAACATGATTTTGATGAACTGTGAATGATTTCTCAGCAACATACTTTGGTAAAAAGAAAAGTGTTTGTATATTAAACATACTGACATTGAAAAGTTGGATAATTATGGAAAATAATATCCATCTGTACTGATGACACTGTTGATGATGGTGTTCAAGTAGGTTGAGTGTTGCACTGCAGGTAATGTCAGTATATTTTGTGGATGCACTGATTTGCTTTTCTATGTTCATTTATTATTTGGGTTCCAAGATCACCTTTCCCTCTTTTTCTCTTCCTTGTAGATATTTCAGTAACATATGCAATAGTAAATCAACAGCAGATAGTAAGAGGTGCTCTTTCAATTAAGAAGTATGGGTATTTTCATGTTATTGTGATGTAGACTTGTTGTAATTATTGGGAAGGAGTTCATTTCATGATCTATTTAATTAACTGTTAAAGAAGTTAGTATTTGTCTTTGTTTATCTTTTTCTGAAGCAGGAGAGACACAATGGATGTGTTTGCAGTAAAGAGAATTTTAAGTTTGATTCTGATTGGCAGAATTCACTAGGCTAATTTGTCTACAGTCTTGGCACTCTTGAGAAGTAGGGGTAATGTATGTGGAATTGAAAATATCGAATTTAGTGTTTTATGTAACACATCGCCCTTTTCTGTGCTTGTGGTGCTCTTTGATAATTTCCATATGTAAACATAAGAAATAACAAAAAATGTAAGAAAAAAGAAAAGAAAAAATGATTTTTTTAGTTTGGTTGTTTTGACTGATTTTATAAAGTTCAGCTGGTGTTTCATCACAGTGTTTTATTTTTTGGAAAATAACTAAGCAAAACATTCAGAGTGAAAATTGAGGTGGTTTCATCCTTTGAGTAGAGTATGTAGTTGTGTTTCATATCAACTATGAAAGTTAATAAGCAAATTTCAAAGACACATATACACACCCACACACTCACATGCATGCACACATGTGCTAACACTTATTCACTCTCTCTCTCTCTCTCTCTCTCTCTCTCTCTCTCTCTCTCTCTCTCTCTCTCTCTCTCTCTCTCTCTCTCTCTCTCTCTCTCTCTCTCTCTCTCTCTCTCTCTCTCTCTTTCTCCCCCCTCCTCTCCCTCTCTCTCTCTCCCTCTCTCCCTCTCCCTCTCTCCCTTCTTCCCCTTTCTTTCACCCCCCCCTCTCTTTCTCTTTCTCTTTCTTTCTCTATATGTATACACATACACTCAGATGAGATTATATGTACAAGAACACAACAGAGAGAGAAAGATATGTCATCTAAGATTATTAGATACATTTTTTATAATACTTTAAAAAAGCATCTGGGTGGTACTAGGGTCATATTACAGGTTATGGATAGATATTACAACAGTCTAGAATTCAGTGTGAGTATTTTGCTTCTTTATTACCTTGTATATGATTATATTTTAAAACTTTAGTATTTATAGTTCTAGAGTATTCACCTCATAGAAAGTAGTCTTTTATTTTTAAAAATAATAGTAATACTTTTGGTCATATTCCCATTTCCTATAGAAATTAGGAAAGTAATTTATTTATGTATTTTTGTTCAGTCATTTTTAGCTAAGGGATGCAGTGGAATTGAAACCATATTTGCATGCATTTATGCTTGAATTGGATTAATAAGTAAATTTAAAGTGTATTTTTATCTTTTTTTATTGAAAAATATCTTCATCATAATCATACATGTTTATTTGTTGGTGGGTATTTCTCCATGATTATTTAGTAACAACTATACATTTAATGTATATGAACATGTGCCAATGTGTACTGTGTAAGAATATGCACAAAATGTGTTTTATGATTCAACATGATTTTCTTATCTATTCATAGACTTTTACCTTGAAAGCTTTGAAAGTCTGCTTAGGTTGTACATGAGACATATTTTTCTATCTCTAAGATATAATTATTGCTGTTGCAGTGAGGAACTATAGGTCAGAGCACTGTTGATAGTTTATGATACGTGTTGATATTTATTGAATATGTTTTGTTAGTATTTGTGATACACGATTTGCAAAGTATTGGCAGATTTTTGAAAATATAAGGTTACATACACTGATATATGCTCCATCTATGTTTCAGATATAATGTGCCTTTTATTTGTTTTGTAGCTAGATAAGAAGTATCTGTCAGCTTTGTGTAGAATGAATAAAAGTTTTCATGTTGATTTGTAGACACTAATGCTATTTTCTTCAAATCATTGTTTCCTATTTATGTGTTTTTTCTTTTTTTTCTAGTAAGGAAAGGGTTTTCTTGAAATAAATTGTTTAATTATTAATGTATTTTCATATATTATCTAGAAAAAAAATTATTGTATATAATATGGTTATGGAACCAATGTGATATTTTAATGAACAAAGAACACGAAAGATTGCATTGCAAATAGTAGGTTTTTATGCACATGGTTGATAAATAATGATGTTGTGATGGCATTGTTACCTATGGTGAAGATCTTTCATTTCTCTTTTCTGTCTTTACAGAATAGCTTTTATCACATTTAGTTTGTGAATTACAAATATTGCAAGCTGCCTTTGAAAAGGAAACATCACAAATGCATCAAAACACTTTAATATAAAAGAAAAATTATAAATATTATG